AGCACACGATCTATATATGCCCTTTGAGAAAGTTTCAACAATCCACGACTTCTATTCCAATGAATCTGAACGCCTAACACAAAAGAGGCTTTCCCTAGATCTTTCATGTCAAATGTTTTGCACAACAATTGCTTAATCTCATGAAGTAAGCCCAAATCATTACTTGCAAGCAAAATATCATCAACATAAAGAACAAGAAAAATAAATTTGCTCCCACTAACCTTAAGATATATGCATTGATCCATCTTATTCTCAACAAAACTAAGAGAACTTACTATCTCATCAAATTTCAAGTACTACTGACGAGAAGCCTGTTTGAGACCATAAATAGACTTCTTCAACTTGCACACAAATTGTTCTTTCCCATTCTCCTTAAAACCCTCAAGCTGCATCATATAAACTTCTTCACTAAGCTCACCATTTAGGAAAGTTGTCTTCACATCCATTTGGTGAAGTTCTAGATCAAATGAGCCACTAATGCCATAATGATCTTGAAAGAATCTTTAGTACAGACAGGTGAGAAATTTTCATTAAAATCTATACCTTCCCTCTAGTTATACCCTTTTGCTACCAATCTAGCATTAAACCTTTCAATCTTATCTTTGGAGTTCATCTTAGTTTTAAACACCTATTTGCAGCCAATGGGTTTACATCCCTTAGAAAATTTCACAAGCTCCCACACTTCATTATGTGCTATAGAATGCATCTCATTTTTCATGACACCTACCCATATATCAGACTTATGACAAGTAATAGCATCATGATATGTTACAAGATCAACAGTGTCGCCAATATCATAATCACTTTCTCCAAGGTATACATAATATTCATCAGAAATAACAGGTCTCCTTGGACTTGTAGACCTTTCTCAACAAAATTTCAGTAGTAGGCTCTAAAAGGCTGAGGAGCCTCAATAGGAACAGAAGGTTCAATTGCAGGAACAGGAGGATTAACAACTGGAGCAGGAAAATTAACAATAGGAGCATGTATAATATTCTTTGGCACAATAGGAAAAGGAATAGAAATAAATTTATCTTGCTCATACTCATTAATAAGCTGTGAGCAATCAATATCAGCAACATCAAGCTCCAAAAATTTTGCTATTAAAGACTCAACAATTTTAGTACCACGTATAGGACAATAGAACCAGTATCCTTTAGAATGTTCTGGACAACTTATGAAGAAATAACGAGTAGTTCTAGGATTAGTCTGTTTCTTAAAAAGGGTTATAGATTTTGACTTCAGTAAGACAACCCCAAACTCGAAAATGGTTAATGTTTAGTTTCCTATTGGTCCATAATCCAAAAAGTATTTTTTGGAACATATTTGCTAAGAACTCTATTAAGAATGTATGAAGTTGTTTTAATGGCTTCTCCCCAAAGATAATTAGGTAAGTTACACCTACTCATCATGCTCCTCATCATATCTTTAAGGGTACGATTACGTCTTTTAGCCACACCATTTTGCTCGGGTCTACCAGACATGGTATATTGGACAATAATTCCACAATCTTACAAGTACTTAACAAACGGTCCCAAATGCTGCCCATACACGTCATGTTTGTCATAATATTGACCACCACGGTCAGACCTAACAATTTGATGATTTTTCCTAATTGTTTCTCTACCTCAGTTTTGAAAACTTTAAATTTTTCAAGGGCTCAGATTTTTCATTAATTAAATAATTATATCCATAATGAGAGAAATCATCAATAAATGTAATAAAATATTTATTATCATACAAGGTACGTGAGTAAGGTCTACTGATGTTAGTGTGAATGATTTCTAAATGAACTAGACTGCGAGTTGCACTTTTCTTCTTAGCCTTAATCAATTTATCCCTAATGCAGTTAACACAAGTTTAAAGGTCTCCAAAATCAAGGAGAGAAAGAATATCATTCTTTATTAATCTTTCCACCATTTTTCAAGAAATGTGACCCAAACGCTTATTGCCACAACTGTGAAGACCTTTCTTTAATTTGAGATCTTTTGGATATAATATTAACAACATTTGAAGAACTATATTTGTTATTGGCAGCCAAGCATATACCATATAAAATAGATGATAAAACACAATGATCAACAATTTTGAAATTTAAAGACAATTGAGTTTTATCATTACTAAAATTAAAACAATATCCAGTTTTATCAAGTAAGGAAACTGAAATCAAATTCCGCTTAAATGATGGTACATGAAAAGTATTTTCTAAAACAAGATGAAAATCAGTGTCTAAATTCAACCTAACAGTTCCTATGAACTCAACATGGACTTCATTATTATTTCCTACTTTAAGCTTGGCTTCCCCTTCACTTGGCCTCCGTTTGTTTGTGAATCCTTTCTTCTTTATTCTTCTTTTCTAACAATTACTTGAATCGAGTGCACTCACTTTTGTTTTTATGACCTCGTTTCTTCGAAAAGTAACACTTGACATGTTTTCGAATGACAACCTTAAAACCTCTCACATTCTGATTAGTACCATACATTTTGAAATCCCGACCATTCTTTGGAGTATTATGATTGGGGTTTCTATTATTTTCTTGATACCCATCTTCAAAATCAGATTTAGGTTGGGAAACAAACAATGCAGTTTTACTCTTTTCTTTTCTATGTTTTTTTTTTCAAAATACACTTGGAAATAAGGTCATTTATTGTCCAGGACTCATTCTGGGTACTGTAGGCAATTTTGATTTGACTAAACTCAGGAGTCAAAGAGAAATAGTGTGATGAATAATGAGATCATCAGGAATAACATTTTTGAAAGCTTTGAGCTTGGTATGAATATGGACCATTCTAAGGATATATTCCCCAACACCGCCTATATTGTCATATTTCATACTCGTTAATTCATTTATTAAGCCTCCAACTTCAGTCTTGTTGGATACCTTGTATCTCTTTCCTACAGCGGAAAAGAGCTCTTTAGAATTCTTGGTTTTAGACAAGTCATTCATAAGGTGTTCATGAATAGATCTTTTCCTGACAATCATACTCAATTTATTAGATTTATCCTACTTTGCATAAAGTTATTTTACTTCAGGGAAACTTTTACTAGTAAGTTTAGGAGGTTCATTTTCTTTTAAGGCAAAGTCTACATTAGCAATGTCTAAGACAAACTCAATATCTTGCTTCCATCTCTTATGATTAAAACCAGTCAAGACTTCAATGTTATCATTATTATTATCTACAGCAAAAGAGACTGTATAAAGCAGCGAGAATATAAACAGTTAGTAAAATTGGGCAACAAATAAATAAAATATGCTTTGAACATAATAAGTCATATTTTATTAAGAAAGTCCAAATACATCACTACAAATTCCCTTTGGGTAGAGAATGCAATATGTTATAAGTCATCTCTTTCATGAAACTAACCAATGAGAATGCTCAAGTATTGAAAAATTTATCCCCTTTGGGCAGATAAACCTTCTAGACTATTGCACCTCTACCACAATGCTTCATGACATCTCCAAATTACAATACACAACAATCTCCTTTGGATAGGTAATTGTATAGTATAATTTATAGACCATCCAGTAACAAAAGCATGAGAAAAATTACAAATTTCAATAAATAGACCTTTTTGGTGGCAACCATCTATTTTAACTCATAGAATTTCTCAAACCGGGATATTATAACAAATTGCCCATAATTAAATATCATGTGATCAATCAATATGAGGTACTAATTAATATGTATCCCTTTAGATCACCTATCATCAATCATTGCATTCAAGTCTTAATTCTATTTTTACTATTAAAATTAAATAATTTAAATTCAAATCTACCAACATTAATAAATAATATGTAGATCATAAAAAATTTCATCATATAAATCACTAGGGACTAAAATTAGAATTATGCAAACACCCTCTACAAATTATAATAATTCAAGCAAAGTTGCAGCATAATAAAATAAAATAATTCATTGCTATCAGTAATTTGTATGGGTATCGTCAACAAAACTCATAAATAATTAATAATTATTTAATAAGTTGACCGAATATATGACCCCACTATTTAATCAAATAAAATAGCAATCGCACTATTTAATATAATACAACAATTGAACAAAACAACTATACAATTTTGCATAGAAGAATAAAGAATAAAAAAAAGTTAATGACTTCAAACTTCAAAAGTAAGACATGTGTACTGCCATTGAAGTACCATGAAAATCACTTACAGGATTGGTGGCGGTTTCTGGATGCCTTTGTTTCTACAATGGCCATATTGACGGCGACTGTACGAGTAGCTTGGTGCCGCCAACATTCCAAAATAAAACAGTTTTGAAGTCTTCAAATTATATAAATAAAATTATAAATAAATTTTATTGGGTTCTAAATTTATATATAATGACTTTGATATCACATGTAAAAAATTCTAATGATTCGTATATGAAATTTAAAATTCATAAATTCAAGATTTAGATCATATATAAGATTTAGAACATACATGTATGAGTCATGATACTCGATTTCTGGATTTCTTTCTTGAAAGGGTAAGGTGTTCCTCTTCTTCTTCAAAACAACAAGTGACTCTCAATGAGACAAACCAATTTAGGATTATAAAGTGGAGAGGAACCTAACCTGTTATTTATAATAAAATCTAATATGTTCTCTCATTATGAGCCCCAATTAGATTAAAACTTACACTTAACCATCTCAATCACACCACTTAAAAGATGTACATAAACCCATCAAAATAAATTATTTAATAATATTGAGTTCATCTCATTGGATCATAAATTCAGCCCATTTTTCACAAACTTAAAAATTAACTATCAATTAATGAGACTCCGATATAAGAAAAATTCTAACACTAATATGAAAAGACCATGACCAAATATGAACTTGATTACAGAGTGCGTTTCTCATTCATGTCAATCACAGGTTTGGCAATACCTTTCTGACATTTGTATGGTCTCTAATAGTATAAAATAAAATATGAACGCGATTATTATTTTACAAAAATGGTTATGAACCGATTACTATTTTGCAAAATGGTTGTATGGCATTGTATGTTCTAGGAGCAACTTTGTAGATCACTAAGCATTCCTGTTTGATGAATTCAACCTGCCCTATTTTGTGCAGGACGAATATTCATGGATCAGTTTTGTGCGATTTGAGGGCAATAGGTGTTGGGGTGGTTATTTGTAACACTTTAGGAGAGTTCATGCCTTGCATTTCACAGAAAATTATCGGCCTCATTGAAGCTGAACAATCTCAAGCACTGTCTGACTGTGTGTCTACTCAATTTGCCATGGAGACTGGTTCTTGGGACGTTCCTTTGGGAAGGAGATTGTGCAACAGTCACTCTTGCTATCCCAGGTTCTGGCCATGGCTTTTCTTCTTCGGGGGCAACGTTAGTTGATATTCAGGAAGATTTGTAGTGTTCCTTCAAGCAATCAGTGCAAAGTTTAGGCTATCAGAAATGCAGGACAAAACATAGTGTAGCATGATCATTAACACACAAGAAGAACAAACATGATTAAAGGTGTCCAACAATCATGGTAAAACATTGCAATGGTAATCATGGACAGCATGCCATTCATCTCATCTGTGCATTTCTCTCTTATGCTTTCTCTCCTGTTCAACGCTCAATTGCACCCCAACTGTTGCTTCAAATTCAACGCAACCAATTTTTTTTTAACTTCAGACAATACATACTTTTTTATTTTAATTCGTTAGATGGCAATTTTTTATTTTTTAATTATTTTTCTACTATTCTTAATTATTTGATAATCCCATTTTTTCTATTTTAGAAACGAATTCAAAAAATTAAAAATAAATCATAGGAGAGTCCAAATTCAGCACTGCAAATTTTTTTAAACTCCAGACAATACCTACTTTTTCTTTTAATTAGTTAGATTGTAATTTTTTATTTTTTAATAATTCTTCAATAATACCATTTTTCTATTTTAGGAAATAATTCAAAAAATTAATAATAAATCATAGGAGAGTCCAAATTTAGCGCGACCAATTTTTTTTAAACTCCAGACAATACGTACTTTTTATTTTAAACAGTTAGATTGCAATTTTTTTATTTTTTAATAAATTTTTTGGTATTTTAAATTCTTTGATCATTCCTTTTTTCCATGTTATGAAAGAATTCAAAAAATTAATAATAAATTATCGGAGAGTCCAAATCCAGTGCCGAAATTTTTTTTTTTTTACTCTAGACAATACGCACTTTTTATTTTAATTAGTTACATTGCATTTTTTTATTTTCTTAAATTTTTCTATAATTTTTAATTCTTTTTTTTTTGGTCAGTCATATAACATACTTACAAAAGAATTACTTACAAAAGAATTAATTCTTTGATAATCCTATTTTTTAGATTTTAGAAAAGAATTAGAAAAATTAATAACAAATCATAGGAGATTGCAATTTTTTATAATAATACGAAAATTTTATTTTAATTAGTTAGACTACAATTTTTTATATTTTAATAATTTTTCTATAATTTTTAATTCTTTGATAATCCCATTTTTTCCATTTTAGGAAAGAATTCAAAAAATTAATAATAAATCATAGGAGTGTCCAAATTTAGTGCGACTAATTTTTTAAAACTGCAGACAAGACGTACTTTTTATTTTAATCAGTTAGATTGTAATTTTTATTTTTTTATATAATTTTTGTGCTATTTTTAATTATTTGATAATCCCTTTTTCCCATTTTGTAAAAAAATTAATAATAAATCATAGGAGAGTTTGAATTCAGCGTTGCAAATTTTTTACACTCAAGACAATATGTACCTTTTATATTAATATGTAAGCTTGCAATTTTTTATTTTTAATAATTTTTCTTCAATTTCTAATTTTTCGATAATCCCATTTTTTTCATTTGAGGAAAGAATTCAAAAAATTAATAATAAATCATAGGGGAGTCCAAATTTATCGCGGCTTATTTTTTTAGACTCCAGACAATACGCACTTTTTATTTTAATTAGTTAGATTGCATTTTTTTCTCCCATTTTTTAGATTTGAGGAAAGAATTGGAAAAATTGATAATCAATCATAGGATTGTCCAACTTTAGCACGGCCAATTTTTTCAGAATACAGACAAAACGCACTTTTTATTTTAATCAGTAAGTTTATAATTTTTTATTTTTTAATAATTTTTCTACTATTTTAAATTCTTTGACCATCCATTTTTTCTATTTTAGGATGGAATTCAAAAAATTAATAACAAATCATGGGAGAGTCCAAGTTAGATTGTAAGTTTTTATTTTTTTATAGGTTTTGTGTTATTTTTAATTCTTTGATAATCCTTTTTTTTCATTTTTGAAAAGAATTAAAAAATTAATAATAAATCATAGGAGAATCTGAATTCAACGCCGCAATTTTTTTTAGACTCCAGACACAACACATAATTTTTATTTTAATAAGTTAGATTACAATTTTCTATTTTTAATAATTTTTCTATAATTTAAATTCTTTGATAATCCCATTTTTTTTATTAGAGAAAATAATTCAAAAAAATAATAATAAATCATAGGAGAGTCCAAATTTAGCACGACCAATTTTTTTAGACTTCAGACAATACGTACTTAATCCATTAGATTGCAATTTTTCATTTTTATTAGTTTTTCCGTAATTTTTAATTCTTTCATAATCACATTTTTTCCTTTTTAGAAATGAATTAAAAAAATTAATAATAAATCATAGGCGAGTCTAAATTTGGTGTAGCCAATTAATTAAGACTCTAGACAATATGTACTATTTATTTTAATTAGTTAGATTGTAATTTTTTATTTTTTAAAAATTTTTGTGCTATTTTTAATTCTTTGATAATCTCTTTTTTTCTAATATGAGAAAAAATTTGAAAAATTTACAATAAATCATAGAAGAGTCTAAATTTAGCGCGACCAATTTTTTTCGACTCCAGACAATACATACTTATTATTTTAATCAGTTAGATTGTAATTTTTTATTTTTTATTTTTTAATAATTTTTCTGTAATTTTAATTATTTGATAATCCCATTTTATTTATTTTAGAAAACAATTCAAAAAATTAATACTAAATCATAGGAGAGTCCAAATTTAGCATGACCAATTTATTTATACTACAGAAAATGCATACTTTTTATGTTAATTAGTTAGATTGTAATTTTTAATTTTATAATATTTTTTGTGCAATTTTTTATTTCTTTGATAAACCATTTTTCCATTTTGGGAAAGAATTCGAAAAAATAATAATAAATCGTAGGAAAGTTTGAATTCAACATCGCAAATTTTTTTAAACTTCAAACAATGCGTACTTTTTATTTTAATATCTTAGCTTTCAATATTCTATTTTTTTAACAATTTTTCTATAATTTTTAATTCATTCACAATCCCATTTTTTCATTTTAGGAAAGAATTAAAAAAATTAATAAAAAAACATAGGAGAGTCGATATTTAGTGCAACCATTCTATTCAAACTCCAGACAATACATATTTTTTATTTTAATCAGTTAGATTGTAATTTTCTATTTTTAATAATTTTTTGCTATTTTTAATTGTTTGATAACCTCTTTTTTTTCTATTTTAGGAAATAATTCAAAAAATTAATAATAAATCATAGGAGAGTCCAAATTTAGATTGGTCAATTTTTTTAGACTCCAGACAATACGCATATTTTCTTTTAAATCAGCTAGATTGTAATTTTTTATTATTTAATTATTTTTCTCCTATTTTTAATTCTTTGATAATCTAATTTTTTATTTTAGGAAATAATTTAAAAAATTAATAATAAATCAGAGGAGAGTCCAAATTCAGCGTGACCAATTTTTTTAAACTCCATACAATACATATTTTTTATTTTAATCAGTTAGATTGTAATTTTTTATTTTTAATAATTCTTTTGCTATTTTTATATCTTTGATAATCCCATTTTTTTTTATTTTAGGAAATAATTAAAAAATTAATAATAAATCAGAGGAGAGTCCAAATTCAGCGTGACCAATTTTTTTAAACTCCATACAATACATATTTTTTATTTTAATCAGTTAGATTGTAATTTTTTATTTTTAATAATTCTTTTGCTATTTTTATATCTTTGATAATCCCATTTTTTTTTATTTTAGGAAATAATTTAAAAAATTAATAATAAATCATAGGAGAGTGCAAATTTAGCGCAATATTTTTAGACTCTAGACAATACAAAATTTTTATTTTAATTAGTTAGATTGCAATTTTTTATATTTTAATATTTTTTGTATAATTTTTAATTTTTTGCATTTTAGGAAAGAATTTAAAAATTAATAATAAATCCTATAAGTGTCCAAATTTAGCGCGGCTAATTTTTTTAGACTCCAGACAAGATATACTTTTTATTTTACTCACTTAGTTTGAAATTTTTAGTTTTTTTTTTATAATTTTTATGCTATTTCTAATTCTTTGATAATCTGTTTTTCCCATTCTAGGAAAAATTAAAAAAATTAATAATAAATCATAGAAAAATTTGAATTCAGTGCCGTAAAATGTTTTACACTCCAGACAATACGTACCTCTTATATTAATATGTAAGCTTGCAAGTTTTTATTTTTTAATAATGTTTCTGCAATTTCTAATTTTTTGATAATCCCATTTTTTTCATTTGAGGAATGAATTCAAAAAATTAAAAATAAATCATAAGGGAGTCCAAATTTAGCGCAACCTAGTTTTTTAGACTCTAGGCAATACTTACTTTATATTTTAATAAGCTAGAATGCAATTTTTTATTTTTTTTAAATATTTTTGTGATATTTTTAATTTTTGATAAGCCATTTTTTTCCAATTTGAGATAAAATTAAAAACATTAATAATAAATAATAGGAGACTCCAAATTCAGTGGCGCCAATTTTTTTAAACTCTAAACAATACGTACTTATTATTTTAATTAGTTAGATTGAAATTTTTTATTTTATAATAATTTTTCTATAATTTTTAATTATTTGATAATTCTATTTTTCTCATTTTTGGAAAGAATTCAAAAAATTAATAATAAATTATAGGATTATCCAAATTTAGCACAGTCAATTTTTTTAGACTCTAGAGAATACTTACTTTTTTATTTTATTTAGTTATATTGTAAATTTTTATTTTTTATAATTTTTTTGATATTTTTATTTTCTTAGATAATCTCTTTTTAAATTAATAATAAATCATAGGAGAGTCGAAATTCAGGGCCGCAAATTTTTTTTAGACTCTAGACAATACATATTTTTTCTTTTAATCAGTTAGATTTTAATTTTTTTATTTTTTAATAATTCTTCGATAATCCCATTTTTCTATTTTAAAAAATAATTCAAAAAATTAATAATAATAGGAGAGTCCAAATTTAGCACGACCAATTTTTTATACTCCAGACAATATGTACTTTTTATTTTAATCAGTTAGATTGCAAC